TTCTAATATTTTATTTTTTAGAACAGTTTTAGAGCTACAGAAAAATTGTGAGGAGAGCCCAGAGAGCTCCCAGGTACTTAGCACCCAGTCTCCCCTATCGTTAAGAATTTACCTCAGTCTGAGGTCTGCGTGATCTGGTTTTGATACACTATCCTTAACTAAAGTCCATGCTTTATTCAGATGTCCTTAGCTTTAACATTCTTCATCCATTTGAGGGTCCTGCCCAGGACACCTCATTAGATTTCACAGTCACGTCTCCTTAGGCTCCCCTTGGCTGGACAGTTTCCCAGACTTCCGTTGTTTCAAATGATCTTGACATTTTTGAGACATGCAAGTGTTTTGTAGATGCCCCTCCCTCGGAGTCTGATGTCCTTCTCAGGGTTGGACTAGGCTGAGAGGTTGGGGTGGGAGATCACAGAGATGTGAGTGACCGCTTTCATATCATGTCATGGCAAAGACACACTTGGCATGATCTGTGATGGCCGAGGTGGCATCAGGTCACCTGGCTGAGGCAGTGTTTGTCAATTGTCTCCATTCTAGGTACTCTTATTTTTTCAAAGACCCTGTCATCCTGAGGGACAGCTGCATATTTCAGAACCCCAGCTGCTAGAGCCTCGTCCCTCTCACCTGCTTCTGGGTCACATCTCTCTTCATCTCACCTCCCTCGTTTACTTTTTTTTTTTTTATTAAGGTATCATTGATACACACTCTTATGAAGGTTTCACATGAAAAACAATGTGTTTACTACATTCACCCATGTTATCGAGTCCCCACCCCATACCCCATTGCAGTCACTGTCCATCAGTGTAGTAAGGTGCCACAGGGTGACTACTTGTGTTCTCTCTGCTACACTGTCTTCTCCGTGGCCCCCCACACCACGTGTACTAATCATAATACCCCTTAGTCTCCTTCTCCCTCCCTCCCCCCACTCCCCTTTGCTAACCACTAGTCCCTTCTTGGGTGTCTGTGAGTCTGCTGCTGTTTTGTTCTTTCAGTTTTGCTTTGTTGTTATACTCCACAAATGAGGGAAATCATTTGGTATTTGTCTTTCTCTGCCTAACTTATTTCACTGAGCATAATACCCTCTAGCTCCATCCATGTTGCAAATGGTAGGATTTGTTTCTTATGACTGAATAGTAGTCCATTGTTCCCTCGTTTACTTTTAAGGATCCTTGTGACTGCACTGGACCCACTGGCATGATTCAGGATAACTGCCCTCTCCTAAGGTGAGCTGGGTAGCTCTTTGAAGGCCCTCTGCAGCCTAACTCCCCTTTGCTGTGTAATGTTGTAACATAGTCCCGGGTTCCAGTAGTAGGACGTGGACATCTGTGGAGATAGTTACTCTGCCCACCACAAGCCTTGCATCCAGTTCACTTAATGACTGCGATTAGCATTCCTACTGCCCCATAACTGTGGTCCTTTTCTTGGTTATTTTTTTTTAAGTTTGGGATTTCCTTAAGTGCTATTTCTTGAAATAGGATTAATGGGATTGCAGGCCTGCTGCAAAAAATTCAATCCCTGAAGGAGCTCCTAAAGAAGAAACTCGAAATTACCCAAACCATACCATCCGGAGAGAATTCCTATTGATGTCTTGTATGTACATTTCCAGTCTAGATCTGTGTGGGGTTTTGCCTCAAGCAATTGAATCCTGCTAACTAATCACGGAAGTGAGCCAAAGACTCTCCAGATCAGTTAGTAAAAGGGATCTAGCTCGGCCACAGGTCACATGATACCTCTGTGCTCTGCACAACATCTCTCCTGTACTTCCACCTTAAAGGATTAGACAGACATCATTTAAAACAAAGCTCACGGCAACAGGTTGTCAAAAAAAACAGACTTTCGCAAATATCTCTCTGCTAGAACATGGGAGTCCCACTGACACATCACAGATATGGGCCATACAAGCAACACTTCCGTGGGTGGACAGATGGGAGTCAGTCAGAAGGTGGCTGTAGTTTAAAACGTCCACATGAATCTCCAATGTCACACAAAGACACGGTTCAGCTGCTTGTAGTGTTCTCAGTTGGTTATCTTCCCAGTTTAGATAGTCTGAGCTGGATTTTTGATGCAGAATCCTGTCTGTCTCTCTCTTTATTGGTGGGGAGGGACCATTTCCTCCTTACACATCTTAGAATCTTTTTTTTTTTAATTGTTGTCACTGAAAAGAATTTCATTCTTACGAGGCTCTGAAAGTTCTTAGCTTTCAGATGATATAGATGAGATGTGGACAGCTGATTTGAAAAGTGCATGTTTTAGCCTAAGAAAAATTGGACACAGCAGGCTGGAGTCTCTTATAAAAACAGTTTAAGGGCTGTGTAATGTTACTAATTTTCAGTCATAACAGCTAACTTGTTAATACATAATTGCTATGTATTATTGTGTTTGATGTAGATTATTGTCTTAATAGTTCAGGCAGTCATACTTGGTGGATCCTATTTTCATCCCCACTCCTACCTGTGGAGGGACAGACACCATGAGGTTAGGCGCCGGGAGAGCCAAGATTCACATCTCGCAAGTCAGACCACAGCCTTGTTCTGCTCTCACCAAGGCCTCTCCTCCCGGATGTCACCTATCTTCTTAAACTTACCACCTTTGCTTGGTAATTCATCTTAATTTCCTTTTCAGTATAAATGAATACCATTATTAGTAAACATTTACCATTATTGCGGACCATAATTTATTTGATTTATTCTCTACCGTGAACCATTTTTATTTCTACCTTTTTCCGTTTTTAAAATGATTCTCTGGAAAATCTGAATAAAACATGGATTTTATCAGTGTCAGCATCCTGGTTGTGCTCTTGTGCACGTTATTGGGGTGAACAGGGGAGGGCAGGGGTGCAGGCTCCCTCTGTATTTCTTACAGCTGCACGTGAATCCACGGTTCTCTCAATTCAAAACAAAAAACTGTCCTCCTGTACAGTCTTGGGCATATGTTTGTGTATTACTATACGTATTTAATTGGGATAAGTCCCATAAAGTGGAATTTTGAGTCAAAAAACATACTTTTGAAGAGTGCCTGCCATTTGCCTGACCCTGTGATACGAGGACTTAGAATGCCAGGTGACTAAAAGGGCATTGTTACCTGTACCCCGCTTGTAATCCAGCCAGGAAAGGAAACTGCCTGAGGCAGTTTGACGCACGAGGCTGCCCGAAAGTTCAGGGAGGTGTGTCCTCAGGCGGCCAAAGGCATTCTCGCCAGACCCACTGCTGTCCACTCTTGACCAAATAGCTGTGAATGCACGGGCTGCATGCAGACATAAATGGAATTCACTTTCTAAGCTTTATACCTCACGTGGTTTTTTCCTAGTAAGGTCTGGTGCAAAATGAAGAACAGGGTCAGATGACTGGGCAGTTGTCCACAGGACCTGGCTGAAAGGACAGGTTCGGAAGCAGAATTCACCCTCCCCTCAGGGCATGAGCCTCTGCTGCATCAAGACAAGCAGCAGTGTCTCCAGGGCGCCACTTGGAAGCATAGTGGGGGTGTCTGGTCAGTGACTCCAACATGGGTGGGCATGTGTAGACACCAGAGCTGGCTTAGGTACTGGGAAGTGAAGGAAACACAGAGAAGTTATTCAGTGAAATAATCCAAAGATAATATATTCTGAGCCTTTTCTCCAGTTCAAGAGGAGAACATTAAAGAAAAATGTTTCTTTGTCATTTGAGAGTCTAATTGCCTCATAGTATATTCACAGAAACAGAGTCCCACGCATGTATGTACATCACGCCTGTGCATGGCCGTTGTTACAGCACCGGGCAGGGTGTGCTTAGAAAGAAGAGCATCACGCATGCCCCAGGGTGCGTGGGCCACCAAGGCCGCTGCCTGTTGGCGTGATTCTTAGATGGCCTCATAGGGTTCAACATCTGTTCCTGCTCATGGCGAAGATTTACTACAGTGACGGGAGAGACAGCCAGAGCAGCAAAGGGAAGGGCGCGTGGGGAGCCTCCAGACTGTGCTCCCATTTCAGTGCCCGGATGTGCTGGATTCCTCCAGCTGCAGGTTGGGGTAGCCCGGGAGCCCCCTGAGCCTGGGAGACCAGGGCGTTTATTAGGGGTCAGTCTCATAGACGCCCTCTGCCTCTCTCACACTGGAATTCTAGACTCCCAGAGGCAAGCAAGTGCTTATCACGAACCACATTGCTTGTGCAAACAGCTGAAGGACTGTGAGCCACTCTCAGCAGCTAGGGAATGGTGGGAATACTCTGCAAGTCCAGCCAAGGGCCAGTCCTGCAAGCGGGCCTAAGGCCAGCAGGTTCAGACACTATTAACTCTTTTCTGCACAGGGGATATGTAACTTTCCAGGCTTTTTTTATTTCTGTTTCTATGTCTCTTCCTCTTGATGTGTCATGGTTTATTGTCTGTGTGTATCTTTTTGTCTCTGCATATATATACCTGTATCTTTCATGTGTGTTGTATCATATATGGTATGTACATATACACATGTATATTCATATACAGAACCTTATAAATGCATTACTGTATCATCCTGTTTTGGTAGCCTGATTTTTCTGCTGACAGTGTATCTGCAATATTGTTCATGTCTTTAACCATTTCTCCCCCTTTAGGATTTGGTGGCCGTTACCCTCACACTAGTGGTCTGCCTGTATTCGGACAGTCAGCTCTTCTGGGCCCAGAGTGCGGAGCACTGCCTGGACAGTTCCTTCACCTGCCATGTCTTGAGTGACATGAGCCTGTCTAGATGCCAGGAGAGGTTCAAGTTTGAATGGAGCAGCCCCTCCTCACCCTGGATGGTGTGGCTGGAGGGAGCAGTATGTGCTCAGAGTGAGACTGAGTGTCCCAGCCGCAGCCAGCCGCAGGCCCAGACCCCAGGTTCCTGCCCAGAGTCAGCCAGATGGAGGCTTAAGGGCAGGGTCTGCACACATGCCCCCCTCAGTTCCGACACCAGCCGCAAGGGGAGTTTGGAACTTTCCAGACCACCCTCAGGTTCAGTACTTCAGGACCAGAAGGACTCACAGAACTCACAGTTTCTTCTCATTACAGGCAAGGGATACAGGTGAACCTCAGCCAGGCAGACGAACGCCAAGTCGAGTGCAGCAGCACGGCCAGCACGGGGCCTCCAGTGCCTCGCCCCACGGAGTCAGGACCTACCGGTGTATGACGGTACGTGTGGAGCCTTGCCAGCCAGGGAACTTCAGTTTCCACGGTTTTCACTCGGGCTTCATCACGTAGACACGGTTGAGTGATTGGTCATGCAGACATGACTGGTCAGTCCATGGCCCGCACACTAATTTCAGTCTCAGGTTGGTACCGCGCGGCCTGGAGGGCCCCCTGGAAGCACCTGGTTGGCCGTTGGGGCACAGCCAGCTGCCACCCAGAGCAAAGACACTCCTTTGTCACCTCTTAGAAGTTGAGGGCAGACCTCCCTTTGGTCTAGGTTCTGTGCCCCCACCAAGAGTGGCCAGAAATCCTCCTCCTCAAATGTCTGGGTCTGAATTCAAGACAAAACCAAGTGAAAACTCTATTCTGTGCAGCTGGGTTTCTTAGGGCTTCGGGGAGAGCTGGTTTTTCCCTAGAATCTTAATGTTTTCCAGATACGTCCCGTTTATGTGTGCATGTTGAGGAGGAAGCTGTGGGTTTTGGGGAGCAAAGATGGAGAAGTAAAGAAGTTTTAGTAAGTCAGCTTGGGGCCCCAAGGCACAGTTCATTTTCCTGCCTCATTTTCCTTTTGTAGCTCTGTCTGGATTTCATTGTTTGGTGACAGAAACCCCAGAGGACTGACCAATTCTTCACTCCAAAACTATGGCCCACGTGAGTGTGTATTTCTCTTCCCTTCTTGATGGTTTGATCCTGTGCACAGTCTTATGAACATTCTAAGGCCTTCTGCCCAGGTGAGTCCCATGTAAACACCCACTCACCAGTCCTTCTGCCGCAGCAAAAGGCAATGCCCTCTGCCCAGTGCCCGCCTGTGGGGCTGGTGTGCACTTATCCTGGAGCTTAGTGTTCGTATCTGCTCTGTGTCCACTTTGTTGTCAAGAGTAACAGAGGCGGGAGGTCCCTGGAGAGAAACATTTACAGCGGACTGTGGTTTGATGAGTCAGACCTGTCGGTCCCACTGGACCACATGAGAGAAGGAGATTCTCCACTGATCTTGTTTCTACGCAGGGAAGAGAGGATGTTCATATTGAGTGGCCTCAGTCGTAGCGTGTGGTGAGAGTTGGGGCTCCGAGGCTATTCGAATTGGGTGGGACTCGGAGTTCATCTTCTGGGGAACCTGAAAAAGACCTTTTGCTGATGAACAGACCCACCAGACTCCTCTGTGCTTCCAAGTCATGTGATATAAGTAGGAGGCCATCCGTACAGAAGTGATAGGCAATCATAAACTCCCACAACTAGGGGAAAATGTCTTGCTCTCCCTAAGTGTGTAACTATTGTAATTAACTCAAATCCGTCTGTATGATGGAATAAAAAATGCTTTTATTGCTACATAGGAAGGCTGCTTGAAAGGTGACCTGGCAAAATGATGACTTGATTCTTGAAAACATTCAGAAATGCAAACCCTAGTTTCAGAAATGGAAGATCTTATATTGCATTTCGGAAACAAAACCCTTGAACATTTTTTTCCTTCCATTAAGGGGAAAGGATGCCATAGAAACCCATGCCTGGTGAGAATTGGTGAGGCATACCAGTAGCAGGTTCTGTGCCAGTAAACAGGAGCACAGCTTGGACTGCTTTATCCATTTCCTGGCTGGCTGGGAAGATGAGCTCTCCTCAGGGTGGGGGTTTCTCTGCCACAGGAGGGGATCCTCAGTAAGCCTAGGGGCCCCGCCTCCCCGCACTGTGCCGGGGCAGCCCCCTGCCCCTCTCCGGGCTGTGGTCCTGGCCGTCCAGCCCCACCCGGAGCAGAGCCCTTCCTGTCCGCCGTCCTGAGCCTCCGCCCTCCCATCTCACCAGGGGCGTGTGGGTTTGCGTTTTCAGGGTTTGGTGACGTTCTCTGACGTAGCCATAGACTTCTCCCAGGAGGAATGGGCTTGTCTGGACTCAGCACAGAGGGACCTATACTGGGACGTGATGCTGGAGAACTATAGCAACCTGGTCGCCCTGGGTGAGTCGCTGCCCCGGATCCCAGGAGCACCAGCCCCTCCACCGCGAGCCTCTGCACAGGCTTTCAGGAGACGCGTCGGGTTTTTTCTCCCTGTTCCAGGGGGTGTCCGTGTCTGAGCTTGGTCAGGTTGGAAGTGGACATTGTGCCCTTCCCCACTGTCGGACCTGTAGTTCCCTCCCTTCCCTGGTGACCAAAGGATGAGTTGGAGTTCTGGAATATTTATTTCATAACCACCTTCAGGGAAACTAGGATTATGTTTATACCCAAAGCACTGCTGATGGCCTGTCCTATCTTGCTGGCCCACCTGCAGGAAAAACAACTCATCACTGTGACTTGAGTTTCTTTAGTAAACCGGCCTGTGTTTGATGTAGAGGTGGACTGAGTGAACAGCATTCCTGTAAAATCAAAGTGGGCATTTTCCATTTGCCACATGTTGTACCTAATGCAAAACCCATGAACCTGAGGTAAACACTGGATGATGACCCCTTGTAAATGTCTCAGGAGGTTTCTTATTTCTGATAGTAGAAAGCATGGCACAGTGTTAGTGGCTAATACTGCGCTTAGGCTTTAGGAGGCATGAGAGGCGTCGTTCTAAGCGCTGTGTGCGTGTGACAGAGAGAATGCGTCCACCTCTTCTCACGAGTCCATGAGATTGGCACACTTGTGTCTAATTAGTAGATGAGTATGTGGGGGCACAGAGTGGCTGTCTAGAGGGCAGAAGCAGGTACCAAGCACAAGAATCCTGGCTGCAGACCCACACTGTGGGCTACCCTGTCCTCCCAGCCAGAGACGTGGCCTTTGGAAGTTTGAAATCAGACCTTTTCCCTACTATCTGGTCTCTGTTCTTGAATCCTTTCTCTTTTCTGAAGTCTTTATCATAATTGAGTTTTTTTAAGTTGTTAAAAATTTGACGAAGATTCAACCAAAAAATCTTTTCCTAAGTTCTGCATCATGTGGCACTTCTCATTGTGAAAGCAAGAGCTTTCGTTTCTAAGCCAGATGGAATTGTCTGTCGGAAGCAAGGGGGGAGATAGGAGGACTGTGCAGGGGAAGGTGACAGCCAGTCTAGGGATTTACTACAATAAGCAGCCCTACTAGGCGGGGGGGGGGTGCAGGGAACCCTCGAAGTAGTCGGAAAGCTCCCCACAAAGGCCCTGGGTCCCCCCTAGGAAAGAGAGCACCACCTCACACTTGAACGTGATCCCCACCCTCCTCACCTTGTTCTTCTCATTTCCTGCTCATGAGAGAATCACACTTTTGAGTGTTGGGTCTCTCCCAAAATTACTTTTAATTCTGTTACTTATATATGCATATATCAATCTCAGAATTGATTTTATGCACAGCTACCCAGCTGTTAACATTTTTATCTCTTATAGTGGCTTTGTGTGTGGTTTTCCTGGGTTTCCCAGGTCCGTCACCACACCATCTGCAAGCAGCGCTCTTCCTTCCCTCTCTGGTCTGGTCTGCCCTGTCTGGTCCCTGTCGTGTTGGACGCCGGCAGGAATGTCTCCAGTGCTTCCTCTCTAAGTATTGTGGCGCTAGAAGTGGACTCGCATCTGCACGGGGTTCCTGGCTGATGGCTGTTTATTCCACTGCAGAAGTTTTATTATTAGAGAAGTTTTGGGTCTGTTCATTTTTGTTTTCTCAAAACGAAACAAAATATGTTACTTTTTTCCCCAGATTTGGACTCATCGTATGAGACCAGGAGATTGCCTGCAGAAAAGAGCATTTATGCGAAAAGATTTCCCAAGAGGGACTCCAGAGGAAAAAGCAAGTCCCTCGGCTCTGATTGGACACGTGAAGGTGAGTTTGAAGGACGACAGGGCCCTCAGAAGGGAATATTCAACCAAATGACTGTCAACTCCGGGAAAACACCCCCTTATAGAGAAAACACCCCTGTTCGACCACAGCAGAAGCTTCGTAACAGGGAGAATGCCCTTGAATGTAAGGAGTGCGGCAAGGCCTTCAGCCGGGGCTACCAGCTCTCTCAGCACCAGAAGATCCACACGAGCGAGAAGCCCTATGAGTGCAAAGAGTGCAAGAAGGCCTTCCGGTATGGCAGACATTTCGCCCAGCACCAGAAGATCCACACGGGCGAGAAGCCGTACACGTGCAAGGACTGCGGGAGGGCCTTCCGGTGGGGCTCGACCCTAGTCCTTCACAGACGGATCCACACGGGCGAGAAGCCCTACACGTGCAAGGACTGCGGGAAGGCCTTCCGGCGCGGCAACCAGCTCACCCAGCACCAGAGGTTCCACGCCGGGGTGCACTACGGGTGTAAGGACTGCGGGAAGACCTTCATCTTCGGCTCAACCCTCGTGCTGCACAAGAGGATCCACACCGGCGAGAAGCCCTACGAGTGCTGCGAGTGCGGGAAGGCCTTCCGGTGGGGCTCGAGCCTGGTCGTTCACAAACGGGTCCACACGGGCGAGAAGCCCTACACGTGCAAGGACTGCGGGAAGGCCTTCCGGTGGGGCTCGAGCCTGGTCGTTCATAAACGGGTCCACACGGGCGAGAAGCCCTATAAATGTGCAGAGTGAGGGAAGGCCTTTAACTGTGGCTAGCACCTCACCCAGCACGAGAGAATTCACATGGGCAAAACGCCTTACAGATGCAAGCAATATGGGAAGGCCTTTATTTACAGGTCAAGCCTCGTCAAACATGAGCGGATTCATACCGGGGAGAAGCCCTATGAATGTAAAGAGTGTGGGAAGGCCTTCAGCCACGGCCATCAGCTCACACAGCATCAGAAAATCCACACAGGGGAGAAACCTTATGAGCATGCAGAGTGTGGGCAGGCGTGTAGCCGTGCAGACGATGTCGAGAACCCTTCTGAGTACAAAGGAGGTGCCCGGGCCTCTCTGCAGCTCTCACCCCTCCCATGTGATGAGGGAGATTCCTGACGCCGTTTCACAGAAGAAGGCCTCCTGTGTCTCCTGCGCGTAGAATATCAGTCATGTTAGAGTTGAATTTGGAGGATGGAGAAATCACTTTTTCTCACTGGTCACAACATACTAAGCGTGGATTTTTTTTAACTGGATAGGTTCGTTTGATGAATTCATTTGCTGTCAGATTCATTCTAGGGAATGGCCCTGCTCATGTAACATACATGGGAAAGCCCTTTCCTGTGGCCTGTCCCCTGTCTGCCAGCATCCCCTTCCCATCGGTCAGCTTTCTGCAGGACACCAGGAAGGTCACCTGTCACCCTGTGCATTATTTGTGATGTGGGGATGGTCGTGCCTGCCTGGTATTGCTGTTGTGTGTGGTTACATGTGGTATGTATAAACTCCTGGAAAAGTGTATCTGGGATGTTATGTGAGCTCAATAAATAGCCGTTGGCGCTTATCATTGTGGCCATGAATTGTTACAGGAAGACCCCCTGTGGGTAGAAAAGACTATTGGACTTCTGAAGGAAACGTAGGAGGTTATTGTCACAACCTTGGGGTGGGCAGTGTTTTTCAGTACACAGAAGACACAAAATGTAACAGGCTGGATTTCATCAAAAGTACCAAGTTCTTCTGTTCCTCGACACCACAAAGGTGGTGAAAAAGCAGCAGATGGGGAGATGGCATTTCCTGGACATACACCTGACAGCTCAGAAAATACAGAGCACCCACCCAACAAAGGGCTCAGAAAACAGAGACTCCCTCCAGTCAGTAGTAACACCCATTAAAGAAGGCGGGGGCCTGGATGACACACGTGGCCAGTGAGTGCCAATGTGTGCAGCACATTTCTCAAGGAAGTGTGGCCACCCCACCATGTGATGTCACTGGACACTCAGCAAAATGGCTGAATTAAAATTGCATGTGAACTGGCCTCTGTTGCATATTCAAACATGACCTGCTCAGAGAGCTGAGCCAGCACACACCTGTGCCCGGTGCCACAGTGCCCACTGCAGAGCCAGGAGGCAACCCTCAACGGATGTGTGAGCAGTGGCCCTGGGGAGGGGGCCAGGAACTCACATCAGTCCTGGGGCAGTCAAGGGGCAGTTAGCCATCTTAGATGGTCCTGGAATGAGGGAGCCCCGGGGCATCTGAGAATGTGGAGGGGGAGGGCCTGTGCCCCAGAGTGAGTGAGAAACTGGGGCAGGACTGACAGCAGGAAGGCCTGGTGCATGCAAGGCGCAGCTGGTGCTCAGACATGAGAGGAACCCCAGGAGGCGAGCCTGCGAGAGCCGGAGGCCTGGCGTGCAGGCCTGGCATGCTCGGGAGTGCGGCCTGGGACACTCAGGGTGGGCGTGTAAGCCAGCGGGAGAGCCCTGGCCTGGGGCATGGTGGTGGGCGGAGTCCAGAGGTGTGTCCGGAAAGGCAGGCGGAGGACCCAGAATCTGGGGTTGAAGTAAGGCCCATGCTCGGTTTACCCAGGGGCCGGGTACCCCGTGCTTCAGGGGACGGCTGTAGGTAGACTCTTCCAAACCCTCCTGCACAAACCAGAGATGGCGGGCAGGGAGGAAGGGGCGGGGGGAGGAGGACCCTGAGGACGACAGGTGTGAGGAGGGGGGAGAACCGTGCATCACACGGAGAGGGTGGGCCTCAGGTGAGCGTGGCAGACGCAGGGATGCCGTCTGAATGGATGGTCATGGACAGAGGAAGTGGGAAGGGCGTATAGTAGGCAGGGATCGTGGTTCAATGAGCCACGACGTCATTTGCAGCAGCCTGAGAGGGCGGGGTGGGAGAGGGAGCAGGGATTGACTCACTCAGAGGGTCACTGGCTTTAGCCTCAGGTGGACCCAGGGCTCACACACAGCTTGAAGACATCTGCCTGGGCTTTGGAGTGGCTGCTGCGGCTGCACAGTGATCCTGCCCACTCCAGGACCTGTACCCCTTGGAGCCTGCAGTGCCAGGAGGGAATGAGGTATTTTACCTTTTTATTTCTCAACAGTCTGCAAACCCCCGTGTGATACTTTACATTTACTTTAACCAACTGGCCACATTTCAAGTGCTCAATTGCAATGTGGCTATTGGCTACCATGGTGGATGATGTTGCTCTAGAATTTTCTTCCATGCTTAGCTGGTTTAGTGCACTGGTCAGGTAAACTAAACTGGCCCATGGCCCAAATGTTGCCTGTGGCCTTTTTTGTATGGCCTAGAGGATTAGAGTTTTTATTTTTAAAAGGTTGTAAAACAGGAGGGGGAGGGGTGGAATGTGAGATGGCGTAGGAGACCTGCAAAAGCTGACCACCGCCCTAAACCAGGTAATACCTCATTCACAACTTTTACATTCATTACATGTCAAAAAGATAACATTTTGGATAAATTGGGCTAAATCATTAAAGTCAATTTTGCCTGTTTGTTTTTGCCTATTTTTTTATGATAATAGAAAATGTTAAGTAAGTTACGTATGTGACTCTCTTTACATTTTTTTGGACACCACTGTTCTCTAGTACAGTTTGTCAGTGTTTGCTGGCACTTGAATGCACAGGCCTTTGCCTCCGCTGCCCACCTACAAGGGCACGTCACTCACAGCACTAGACACATCACCTTCCCCAAAGACCCTCCCCTCTCCTCAGGGGCTCCTTGGTGGAAGGCACATTGACTGCTGACCGTCTCTGGAGAGGTGCTGGAAGGAGCACCGCGTTATTAGGAGGAGGCAAAGCTCAAGGACAAGTCCATGGGACATTCGCAGCCCCAGGAGACACCTGGAACGTTGTGAGCAGTGAATACTTGCAGGAGGGAAGCTGCCGATGCCGGCTTCCTGACGGCTACGTTTGCGTAGGTAGCCCCTCCATCTTTCTGTGCTCTCAAGACTGAGGTCCTCCACCCACTGCAAAGTGGCTGTTAGCTGCAGAACTTCACTGAGACCACCGCGACTAAGTCCAGTATTCACGTCAAAGGAGCATATTACCAATAGTCACTAGACACCATACACTGACCTGTAGGAGCCATTTTTATATAGGAATATGTTATGAATTTTTATAATGAGCTCAGTACCCTCTAATTCAAATCTCACAATGCTCTCTGAGTTTGTTCTAAATCAAATCCAAACGGCTTTTTCTTCCTTGGCTGAGGTACGTTAAAGCATATCCAAAATCTTACGTAATTTTTAAAAACTTAACCGTATACCATTATCATACTCAAAAAAATGGGGTGATAGGATATGAATTCTGTCTTGGAAAAGACAAGGTAGGTTGTTGCTCCAAGTGACTGCCTCTGACTCTTCTGTCCAGTAAGTTACATTTAATTTGCAACTATTAACTCTCCAGTTTTGGTCATATCACTTACAGAAAATCAATACTATTTCTTTTTTCCTGGAGCGTCACCCCTTCTGGTCTTGGCTGTGTTTTCAGTTGATATGGGGCTCTGTCCCTTATGTTGTCTATGAGCCGACGGTTGATCTGGAGGCTTGATTGCATTCTGATTCCGTTTTTCACCATGGATATGTGGGTAGTGTCCTGTCCTGCCGTTACAGCATGTGGGGATGCCTGTGATGTCTGGTTGTCCCACAGTGTGATAAGAATGACAATCAGGCGACATCAGCCTTTTCTGTTCAACATTCGCCCAACTGTCTGTTCATAATCAGTGTTTCCTAATCCTATAATTTCATTAGGACTGCAAGATAGTGGTTTTTCTGTTAATCCTCCTCTAGTTTTCAAAGCAGTATCGACTACACCATTACTTCCCATTCCCAGCCCCTGTGTCTGACAGTGTGGGTTGGTTTTTTTTTTTTCACTTAAAGTTTCCTCGTCACCTCTTGTGTGACACTCAAAAGAGTCTGTGACAGCCGGGTAGAGAACAACGATCATTTATACGTTACATGTCCGTTATATCTCAGTAACGCTGAGGGAGAGATTGAAATGATCACTTCTCTTTATCATTATGAAATGATCCTGGTCTGCTACCATTTTCTATCATAAAGTCTACTTTGTACTAATAAGGCTGTGCCAGCCTCCTTAGGTTCCTGTTTGCATGATGTGTCTTGCGTTCGTATCTCCCCCCAGCCATTTGTGTGTCCTAATATTTTCAGTGCAATTTACAACACAATATGTAGTTGAATCCTGCCTTTTCTTCCCATGTAGCAATCTTTGCGTTTTCACTAGAAGCAGGCACAAGGCACCTCTTATGCGCAGGTCATATTTTATTTCTTCCATTGGTTGCTAGTTATTACATGGTTATACTTTATTTGCAAAAATTTATCTTGCAGCAGACTTAAAAGTATGCACTTTTCTGTGTGTATATTCCACTTTTAAAAGTTTACTTAAGAATTATTACAGGCACTGGCAATAAATACAGGGTTCTAAATGTATCCTTCACACTGCATAGTGGCTCCAAGTCTCCACTGAAGCAGAAGATCCCTCCAGTGTGTGTGGGTACTCTACATGGCCTCTCTTTCCTATGGTTAAACCAATTCACCACTAGGAATGTTTCTGTGGAGAGTTTGGGAGCTTGAGGCTGGTGGCTGTCGATCACCCTTCTCCAAGCTGTGCCGGATCCCATATCCAAAGTACATGGCGAACCCTAGTAGGGGAATGAGACCGAGAGGGAGAGGAGGCGCTCTCATCATTTGTGAATGCTCAGCGGGACTCCTAGTGCGGGATCTGGGGCAAGGTAGTGGTAAGGGGTTGGGTTCAGTCCCCAGAGGGGCCTTTCTCCCCAGAAAGCCACTCACCGATCACTGTCCAGACACCAAATTGGGCCCAGGTCCTAGCGGTCATCTGCATCATCAGATAAATGTTCACAAAGATGCTCAGCACGGGGAGGACAGGCAGGGCAGGGACCTGGGGGCAAAGTGACCTCAGGTGTCTGCCGGGAGAGCCCCTCCCTGCCTGGGTGGAAAGGAGACCCCATCCATTGGGCTGCATGCTCGGGCCTGCTCATGGTAGGCTCCCACTGGACGCCCCCAAAGAGGCAGGGGCTGGGGACGGGACTTGTAAAGGGCCAAGCGTGGATCGGGAGCAGGTCGGTTTCAGCAGCTCCCTTCCCTGGAAGGTTTAGGTCAAGCATGCAGAGCTCATTCACTGAAGGACAGTTTGGGGGTAGAGTCGCCTACCTTGAAGTGAAGAGAAGTGTGGTTCTGGGGCTGTCTCCAAATGGCGATGGTGGTCCCCGAGATGAGCAGAAGCAGCAGCCCCACCACTGTCGCACATCTGGGGTCCCCAGACGACAGCAGGCCCGGCCACTGGGCCAGAATCAGACCCAGGCCCGTCAGCAGCAGAGCTACAAGGTCAGGGTGGAGGAGACCAGTCCAGCCCGGGGCCGAGTGTGCCAGACCTTGGACGTGTCCTTCCCCAAAACCGCCACACCAGGAGGGCTGTGGCCTCTCCAAGGCGACTCCGCTGCCAAAGACCCCGTTGATATCCGAATTGCCACCAGAGAGAAGTCCCACCACTCACCAAGCAGTGAGGCACACCCATAGACGATGCGGCCAGACCTCAGAGTAGGCATGGTGCTGGCGGGGATGCCCCAACTCTGCGGAGTCTGTGAGCTTCCTGCCTCAGGTGCAGACTCCAGAGAACCCGCCTCACGTTCAGGCTTCACCTCAGTTATTTCCACCACTGTTTTCTCCTTGCTTACATTCTGGTCTGGCTGGTACCTGAGGAAGACGCAGGAAGGCAGTTAACAGCAGCCCCCACACACCCACCATCAGGCAGCAGAACGCACCTCTTTCCCACGCACCGGCTGAGGATTAGCCCCCTGTTGCCGTGAGCCCAAGGCCCCCAGTCAAGGTGCAGTGGGGTCTCACCTGAGGACGAGGACAGAAAAGGCCACCAGGGAGTAAGCAAGCAGGGTCCCTATTGACACGAGGTCCACAAGGTCGCTGAGCTCAAAGAGGAATGCCATGAAAGCTAGAATGGGGGCAGAGTGAGGGGACCGGGTGAGGAACCCGGGGAGTGCCCAAGATGGGGAAGCTGATCCGAGAAGGGGGGGTCTTATTTATTCACCTGCAAGAGTTCCAGAAACGATGGTGGCGATGATGGGGGTGTGCGTGCGGGTGTGGGTCCGGGCAAGTCCCCGGAAAAGGAGTCCGTCGACTGCCATCGCGTAGATGACCCGCGGCATAGGGAACAAGGCACCCATGAGGCTGGACGAGACGGGACGTGTGTGAGGGCGCCGAGGAGGAGGGCCCCCAGGGCTCCTGCTCCCGGCCTCACAGGGCCGGCCGCCTCTCCCCCAGCTCTCAAGCCCCAGGGCAGACCCCTGCGAGGCCCACCGCAGAGGGGAGGACGCCCGGGCACTGACCTGGATGACAGAGCACAGAGGGTGCCGACAGCCACTGCGTATCTGGCAGGGCCCCATCCGATGTGGAGAAAGGCCTGCGGCAAGGGGTTGCTGGGATCGACCTGGTAGTAGGGCATCAGGAGGGTGACAGCCGCGGAGACACCGAAATACACCAGGAAGCAGACAAGGAGTGAGATCACGATGCCCCAGGGGATGGAACGCTGGGGGTTTCGGGCCTCCTCCCCTGCGGTGGGTGGAAGTACCCGCTCAGGAAAGCCCTCTGGGCTGAAGGCACAGAACCCAGAGGGATGACCTTCCACCAGCCCTATGCCCGAGGGCAGCCCCACTGTGCCCAGCCCCGAAGGGAGAGAATGGCCGTGTTACCTGTAGTGGCAATGCCATCAAAACCAACAAAGGCGAAGAAACACGTAGCTGCTCCGCGGAGAATCCCATCAAAGCCAAATGGCGCAAACCCCCCAGAGCCCAGAGGGCCCAAGCTGTGGGGAGAGAGGGCAGGAAGAAGAAGCCGGGAGGTGCGCTCAGCCATCTGCGTGGGGCGGCCAGCTCAGGACTGTACGTCCCCCATGGCGGCCGGCGCCTCCTGACCTGTGTGTGTCATTGGACCCCAGCATGGCCAGTTTGTAGTCCTGCTCCGTGAGCTGCCAGTGGTGCGGATCTCCTTTGATGAAGCCAGAGATGATGATGAAGCCGAGAACCAGGAGGTTGATGCACGTGAACATCTTAGTGACCAGGGCGGACTCCCTAGCTCCCAGAGCCAGCAGTCCTGTGGGGAGGACGGGTCATTAAAACCCAATGCGACCTGAACCGCAGAGGCAGACAGTGGCCCGGTGGTAGCTGGGGCTTCCTCTAGGGGCAAGAAAATGCTCCAGAGCCAGAGGTGGCAGTGGCACAGCATGTGGGTCATAAGTGCTGCTGAGCTGTCCCCTCTGAGACGGCCCATTTCTTACGTGGCGACCACCTCCCAGGCCATACATGTACCAGTTCATCACATCATGCACCTTAAGCTTACAGAACCTTGTGTCAGTTACATCTCAATAAAGCTGGGGAGAACAGCAAAATAAAAGGGTTAATTCTGAGTTATATGAATTTCACTTCAATTAAAAAAAAACCTTAGGTCTCATACAGAGGAAGAAACTCATCGGTCAGTCTAAGTACGTGATTCCCAGCTGGGGGTGATTTGGCCACGTCTGGGAGGATCTGGACTGTTGCAGTTTGCGGGGTGGGGGCCACTGGCACCTACTGAGTAGAAGCCGGGGATGCTGCTCAACATCTGACAGTGATTTAAAAACAAGCCGAAACGAACAGGCCACCGTCCACACCACGGAACGGTTCAGCCTGAAGAGCTGGCAGTGCCAAGGGTGGGCACCGCGGACAGTGTCCCGTCTCCCCGCCTCCCCGCCCGCCCTGTCTCCGGCCCCTGCCTCACCGCTAAGCAGCAGCACCAGGCCCAGCGCGAAGAAGTCTGGGTACTTGGCCAGGACATGGGGCACGTGCAGAGAGAAGCCCTCTGGCAGCGACCCTGAGATGCGGTTCCCAAGCAGGCTGTCAAAGGCAGAGCTCCAGGCCCTGGCCACGCTGGCAGCGCCTGCAAGGGACCGGGAGGTGTTGCTGATGAGGTAAACAGAACCCCGACTGGGCGCCATGGATGCATTTTTGGGGAGACATACACACGATAGATCTAACATCAAAGAGTTTCTTTTCGTGGGGTGGGGAGAGCAGACAGGAAATTCACAAAATAGGCCAACTATTTAATGTCAGATGAGCGTCATGTAAGGAAAGGAAGGACGGCGGGGCTGGCAGGGCTGGCGGAGGAGGAGGGTTGACTCCTGAGTCAGGGGCGGGGAGAGTCTGGAAAACGCTACAGAGGCATCAGCTGAGCCCAGCGTCGGAGGGCTGCGGGAGGGGGCCTTGCAGAGGGCTGACTGCTCCCTGCGCTTCCAGCAGGACGGAGCTGAGCAGAGTGACGTTCGGGGGGTTTCCTGCACTGTGGCCCACGCACCACGGGGACAGCAAGGTGCTCATGAAGGCAGGTGGAGATGCCAGTCCCCTGCCCTCGTTTCCTGATCTTAAGCCCCCTGCTTCCCCCAGGCCTTCCCCTGGCCCCATCACCTCACCAAGGCCGTAGGAGAGTATGAGGTTCCAGCCGGTGATGAAGGCGCACAGCTGCCCCACGGTGACATAGCTGTAGAGGTACGCAGAGCCGGAGCAAGGCACGCGGGCCCCAAACTCCGCGTAGCAGAGCCCGGACAGCATAGAAGACAGGGCGGCCACCAAGAAGCAGACGACGATCGCTGGTCCGGCTTTCTCCCGGGCCACCTCGCCAACCAGGACATACACACCCGCTCCCAGGGTGCTGCCCACGCCCAGGGCCACCAGATCCAGGGTGGTCAGGCAGCGGGCCAAGGAGCTCTTGGCCCCCTCCCATGGCTCCAGGGGCCTCCTGCGGACCAGCTTCTGACCAAGCTGGCGAACACCCTGACACAGCATCCCAGACGGTGTTGGGGAGGCTCCGGTCTGCAGGGAAAAGACAGGGAACCATCAGTTCCATCCCTTTGGCCCTGGGGATCGGGCACGAGACCAGTTCCACGGAGAGGTGGGAAAAGGACCTTTCGGGTGAGTCACCCATCTCAGCAGCCTGGTTTCTCCCAACGGGAAGACCTGTAATACACTTCAGTGTTACTGGAAGGCTTGCTTGAAGAGAACCAAGCCGAACTTCCCAGAACAGTGTCCGGCATGCAGCCACTGCTACACTGATGAGCCGAGTGGAGAAGAGAGCTACCTTTGAGGCCACGTCACCCAGGTTCAGACCCAGCTGCCGCCATATCAGCCGTCTGATTCTGCGCAAGCTACATGCCCCGTGCCCTCTCCTCCTCTGTGAAAAAGGGGCAGCGATGATCACCACCATGGTCATTGCCGTTGCTCCCCCCCTTCCTGGTATGTGCGGCCTGACTCTCAGGAGGGCTCACAGTCCATGCACATCTGCTCCAGGGACCCTGCCACCTGGTGGCTTTGTGTCATTGCTCGCAGAGTGACATGCACTGGAATTCAGAGCTGGGGTGGCTCTGCTTCCTGTGCAGGGAGTGTACCCTCCACCTGGGAGATTGAGCTCCTGCTTTCTGGAGACAAGGGAGGGTCAGATTGTTCTTGACCTGGCTGTTTCTTAAGTAACTTCGAGTTCAAGATGATCAATATTCCAAAGTGGCTGTTTTGGGGCAGCCTGCCCTTGGCCCCTACAAATACATGTGACATAACATTTGCCATCTTAACCCTTTTTCAGGGAATTGTTTAGTAGTGTTAAGTGCATTCACATTTTGTGCAACCGATCTCCAGAACTCTTTCATCTTGCAAAACTTACACTCCGTCCCCATTAAATAATGACTCCTATCCCTTCTCCCCAAGCCCCTGAAAATCACCCTTAAGCTTTCTGTCTCTGTGACTTTGACCAGTCTAGGTACTTCACAGAAGTGGAATCATACAATATTTGTTCTTTCGCGTCTGGCTATTTCACTCAGAACGATGTCCTCAAGAATCGACTATGTGGTAGCAGGGGTCAGATTTCCTTCCTTTTTAGGACTGAATAATATTCCCTGGTATGCATACACCGTATTTTACTTATCCATTCATTGGTCCATGGGCACTTGGGTAGCTTCCATGATTTAACATTTGTGAACAACGCTCTATGAACACAGGAGTGCAAATATCGTTTAGGGACCCTGCTTTCGGTTCTTTCAGGTGTGTAAGGCAGTGGGATTGCTGGATCCTGTGGCTCCAAGATTTTTAAATGTTTGAATCCATGCGATCATCAAGGACCCTGAGAAGTAGGGGCTGTAGAACACGGGATCCCACCCAACCCCTCCTTCTTCCCTGTTGAGGCCCCTCCCATTTGCAGCCTGCATATGGACCAAGACACTCACGCCCTTTGTTGTACGTATCTGCTCCCCCTCTGTGGACTGCCTTTTCACTTCCTTAATGGTGTCTTTTTAGAACAGAGGTCTTTCATTTTTGTATAGTCTAAATTACATATCGTTCTTCACTGTAAGAATTTCGAGGTCCTTTTTAATAAATCTTAGCCTATTCCTATATCATAAAAATGATCTTCTGTGTTGTCTTCAAAAAAAACCTTATTGTTTTTCCTTCTGACTTTAGATTTGTGATTCACTTGAATTTGATTTGTGTGTATGAGTAAGGTAGGAGGGAAGATCTATTTTTTGTGCCATAATTGTGGACAGTGGGTGATTTTATTTGTTCCTCTGTTGATCTGTCAGATTTTTAAAAGATGAATGGCGATTCAGATTTCAGTGTCTACCATTACACTATGGGGCATGCCTTGATAGTCTTCTGATTAACACACATCCTTAATTTGACATAATGAAGTGCTTTGGTCTTTTATGGTTGGTATTTTTGCCTTCTGTTTAAGAGATGTTCCCCTAGACCCAATGTCATAAAGCCCTCGTGTAAATTTCATTGTTCTGACCTTCCCGCTTAAGTTTACAACCAATTAAATTGATTTTGTGTACATGGTGAGGTAGAGGGCATTCAGTTGTTCCAGCACCATTCAGTAAAAAGACTGGCCTTTCCTCATTCCCGCAGTGGCTTGAAAACTCCAGGTCATGACAAATTAGTGCACCCATGGGTTAGTTATGTTCAGATTTTTTAAAGGAAGAGTAGACAAAAAATAGATCAGAAAACATAAGTATGTCGTCCAAGTGTTTAGGGACACGTGTTTGTGTATGGGATCATGTTGGAAATTCTATTTCTTATTATGAGACTGAAGGAAAAGGATTTGAAAGCCACTGATGTACAGGACCCACCAGTTATCTGTCCTGTCCTTCCCTTCAGTCTGTCCAGCCAGGCCAGCTACCAAGATCCTTTCTTGCGTAAAGAACCCATCCTCACTCTGGGTCTATCACATGCACTCTCGGCCCCCTCCCAGGAATTTCCTCAGGGTCTCTAAGGCCTGGAAACTCTTTAGGATAATCCTGGAGGACCCCCCACACCAGACCACAGTCAGAACACTCACCTGGACCTTCCCGACCCAACCACGGAGTGATCTTAGCAAGCTACACAAAAGATACTCCTGGGCAGATAGTTCATCTTTCCATCTGCCTTCAGAGTTCTCATCTCCCCTTTCTTGTTATCTTTTTATTTCCATCCCAGCTCTCCTTCATTCTTTCTGGAAACAGCGAGCAAGGTGCAAGCGGGGGCATCTCTTAATCGTATTAGGACGAGAAGGTGTGAACCACACGTTCTGACGCACAAGCAGCTGCTCTTGAAGGCAGAGAACTATGATGGTGCCGCCTACCCACGGCTCAGTCCCCAGTTCTGGCTTAAGAAGGCACAGACACAGGACAGAACAGGGCCTTAAAGGCGGCAGCAAGAACACTACTTGGGTCACAAGGCCACCAGCACCAAGAACAAGGCCGCGGTTTCCCCCACATGCTCCTGCCGTCCCTGCCCCAGGAACGTGCTCCCGCCAGCCCTCTATCACATTCTCCTGATCTGCCGCCCGAGTCCCTTACTGCCCCCACCTCGGGGCATGCCGCTCTGTCCCATCGCTGCGGGATCCTGTCCCTCAGACGCAGTTTGGGCCCCCAGCTCCGTGGCAGGGAATCCCCGGCCGCGGCAGGCTGAGCTGCTCTGTCCCACCCAGTGACCCGAGCCCGCACTCAGAGACCCTCCTGTTCTCAGTTGGAAAGGAGTCATCACCGGTGTATTTCCTTGGATGACTTGAGGGAGGATGTGGTCACAGCCTTAAGCTCGGTGCTGGGAGTACTGTTCCCGCGGGAGCAGCTGTCTTCACCATGTGCACTTCTGTAGACTCCGGGGCCACCATGTCTTTTCTCTAAAAGAATTACTTTAGTGTTCGAAAGAATTCAGAGGCAGTATAAACAAGTGGTGAGGACAGATGAGTGGGGAAAGACATTGCATTCACTCCCCTTTCTTTCCGTGGTTCTGTCTGAGTCTTTCGTACTCTGGCTATTTTATTTCAGTAACTGATTCATTTTTTTAGGGGTATGGAGACCTTTCCCTTTTGTCTCTGTTTCTTGCATTTCTTCCCCATTCTGTGTATCCAGGGGATACTGTCTTAATTTGGATTCCCCACATCAGAGCCTGACAAGGACTTGAATTCAAGATGTTTATTTGGAAAACAATCCCCCCTCCCCCAAAAAAGAGGGAAGTGGCAGGGACAGTAAGACGCAGAAGGGAAGGAAGCCCCTGGATACGTCACTGTAGAGCATGCTGTGTGCAGTGGGGCTGGGTTCCCTTGCTGGGAAGCCTGCTGAAGAGCACACTTGATACCTCAGGATGGGAGCCTGGGGCACGTCCTGGCCCTGGGATGCAGCAGTGATTCTGCTTCCTGGTAATCATCATGGTTGGTCATCCCTGCCAGCAAAGTGGCTCATCTATCTGCCCACTGGTTCATCAGCACCCAAAGCCCCCGGTAACCAGGCAGGAACCCTGACTGTGTTTCCTGGAAGATGTGTCCCCGGCCTGAAAGTGAAGACTCATCATCTCGTAGATCCCAAGGATGGGGGACGGGAGACACAAATTCTTCAGCCGGGTCCCTAGACATGATGGTGATGAAAGCCAAGTCTATGTCCACCCCTTGATAGCAAGGCTAGTGTATTCTAGCTACTAGGGGCACAGCACCTCACACTGACAGTCGACTCGATGCATACATTACATCTCGAAGGCCAGCAGTGTCACGCCGGAGCTGAGCTTTTAACAGGCGACTCCAGGGTGGCAGCAGTTTCTGTTTGCAGTGCATGCTGTCAATCCTAGTCACGCACGGATTGCCATGCCATCTCCAACCCAAAGTGAATCCCTTGGGCTGAGGTGGTGTCACGTGAGGTCCCATATCAGGGCTCATGACACAAGCACTGGTCTGGAGCATCCTCTCTACCCAGGTACTGGGGGGTCTTCCCTGTAGACAGCACTCCCTGGAGGTCACTTACCAGGGACAGAGACCTACGTGCTTTCTCGCAGGTCCACTGGCCTGCCCCGTCCACAGACTTCTTGGACTTCGTCCATTCCCCTTCCCAGTCCTCCTTACACAACCTGATTTCAGGTTAGGACAGCCCCCTTCCCACCTGTTGCCCCATTCTTGAAAGCTTTAAAAGGCAGATCTTAAGCCCTAAAGTGCAGCTCCTCACTGCCCTGCCCCCGCACTCCCAGGCACTCTCCATCACTTTATCTTGCTTTATTCTCTCCATCTCTCATCACTATCTAAAAATGGAATTTGCGTGTGTTTACGTATCTTCAGAGAGCCCTGCCAGGGGGAAAAGGCCTCCACCGCAAGGACTTGTTTACCCTGTATCCCCAGAGGCTGGACATCAGGCATTCAATGAACCACTGAAGATGAAATGAATGAGTTAACTGAGTACTTGAATCAGCTTAAAATGCCACAGTCCTTTACTTGCATTCCAGCTGAGTAGCGGTAACCTCCTTAAACGCTAAACCCCTGTGGGTTCATCTATGTTTCCTGTAGCCCTGGTGTCCGTACCAGTGACTAGTTTGGTTAGCCAGTTAATATTTGTTGACTAAACAGATGACTTCCATGGGGAACAAAAGACCCTGATTCCATAGATCTTACATTCCAACAAAGAGACATATAACTTAGTGCCAAGAAGTAATAAATGTGCTGGAGACAAATAGGGCAGTGCAAAGGGATGGAGACTGGTGGATGCTTTTGAAGGTGAGATGCTTAGGGACAGTGGGTTGGTTGTGGGGTGGGCCTTGAGGGGGAACACGTATTTTTGTTCCTAGGAGGTGACGTCATAGCAGAGATTTGGATAAGTGAGAGATGCCAAGTGACTATCTGAAGAACATTCCAGCCTGCAGTCTACAAGAAGAGGTCACCGAGAGGGCAGAGAAC